TTCCACAGGTTTCCACATGAACGTAAAACTTCCAAAAAAAGGTGGCTTGATGCAAAAGAAAAAAAATCTGTCGTTCTTGAAACAACTATATATATAGTATGAATATGAATATGAGGATGATGAAGATGGTGAGGATGATGAGGATGGGGGTGGGGGTGATGGGGAGGATGAAGGTGAAGTAAAAAGCAAACCAGGACTTTGCTACGAAACCTTGGGACGCTACTGGTTGAGTGTTTTAATTACCATGTGTCATATGATGGCGTGAAACTTTCTTTGAAATTGCGTTCATATCCTATTTTAATGTCTCCTATTTTCTTTTCTTTTCACTTTCTCTGTTTTTTTTTCTTTTCTTTTTTTAAGCAGATTATCACCAACTGTTTTACTTCTTACTTTTGTTTCTTCTCTTCCTTTATCTTTATCGTGTCTTCCTACTTCATTCTATGGGGATTTGTAAGCTATAACCGGACCTATGTAGGTTTAATTTAATAAAAATAAAGTTGACGATTTAGGCTCTAACGGGGGGAGGGGGGCAAACAGAGCCTCGGGAGTGAGGCAGAAAGAAAGAAGGAAGGAAATAGAAAATAAGAAAATAAATGTGAACTCTCTCTCTCATCCAGGACTTTCTTCACCTTCCAGATTTAAAACCAAAAGAAAAAACGCACGCACGCACACACACACAAGAAAATGGACCATTCGACCATGAACCACTCAGCGATGGGCCATCACGCGGGCATGGACCACTCAGGCATGGACCACTCGGGCATGGACCACTCAGGCATGGACCACTCGGGCATGGACCACTCGGGTATGGACCACTCGGGCATGGACCACTCGGGCCACGAGGGGCATGGCTTGGCAGGGGCTGTGGTGAGCACGACGGTCAAGGCCATTGTCGACGCCGTGCAGAGTGGAGGTAAGGAGAGGGTCGAGCTGGGGGGGAGGGAGGGGGGGGGGGTATGGTGAGGGTGAGTGTGATGCTGATGCTGGTGAGGATGATGAGGATGGTGATTATGGTGGTAATAGTGAGGATGGTGATGCGGATGAGGGTGATGGTGATAGTGAGGATGGTGATGCGGTTGAGGATGATGAGGGTGATGGTGATGATGGTAGTGATGGTGAGGATGCAGGTGATGGTGATGGTGATGAGGATGATGAAGGAGATGATGAGGATGAGAATGGGGATATGGGTGATGGTGAGGAGGAGGAGGGTGATAGTGATACTGAGGATTGAGGGTAATGGTGATGTGTAGGTGGTGATGGCATAGATGGTGATCATGTTGATAGTGAAAGTAATAGTGATATGATAATGGTGGTTATAAGGATTGTGATAATGATAGTGATTGTTTTAGTGATACTGATAATAGGAATGATAATGATAGATATGAATTTATGCTAATGTTAATGATAACATTGATAGTAGTAGCAATAGTAGTATTGATAATGATAATGAGAAGGACAAAGACAATGATAATGATAATGATAATGATGATAATCCTGAAAGTATGTTTTGTCCTACACATTCAAAGTATTGATAAGATAAAGGTAATAATAGGATGGATAAAATTTAATAATGATACATTATGTGAAAGAGAGAGAGAGAGAGAGAGAGAGAGAGAGAGAGAGAGAGAGAGAGAGAGAGAGAGAGAGAGAGAGAGAGAGAGAGAGAGAGAGAGAGAGAGAAATTGTGCGAAAAGGGAGCAAGACGGATAAAATAAGTGAGTTTGGGGTTTATCCAGTTAGTGTCCATAGATTTATCCATTATTGTACACAGATTTATCCCATCGTGTCATGTAGGATTATTCCTCTATATCACGAAGGTCTATCCTGTAAGTTCATATCACTATTGACCTCGTTAAATTGTTGCAGGTGACCACAGTGGGCACATGATGCACAGCTCAGGCCACGGAGGTCACGGCATGGACATGGATATGGACATGGAAATGTCGGTAAGTATGTCCTCTTTTCGTCCTTTTTTCCGTCTAACGTCCACTCGCTTGCTCGACACGGAGAGTGAGAGAAATGGATTTGAGTGTTATTGATGTTGGAGAAAATGTATTAGCTTAGTAGTGATGATGATCTAGTAATTTTGCTGGGTATAAGATTGAAATGTTCACTACTTGTCTTGCATTTGTAAAAGTCAACAGGTGTTTTTGTAATTTTCCGAATTTTGTAATCTGTTTTAGCCATGATCATAGGTATTTATATTCAGACAAGAGTAGTTCCAGTATGTTAACCACTTGCTGCCAGGGAGAATGCTGTTCTCATTTTATTTTTATTTTTTAGTGAAATGTCTCGGCACATAGATGGCTCTGCTAGTGCTTAGCCACAAAGGAGTCAATTAGTAGACCTTGTGACCTTACCTAATTTCACCTTTCCTTGAATTGGTGGGAAAAACGTAGTTTTTATTATTGCTATGAATATCGATGGTGTTATTTTTGTAATAGACATTATAATTACTATAATGTTAAAATCATCAGTAACAGCAAAGTAAGATAACATA